TAATAATTTTTAAATTAATAAAAACAATAAGCTCTTTCTAAATATATTTATAAATTAAATTTTATATTTATTTTTTTTATTAATTTATTAGTTTTAATAATTTTTGAATTAATAAAAATAATAAGCTCTTTCTATATATATTTATAAATTAAATTTTATATTTATTTTTTTATTAATTTATTAGTTTTAATAATTTTTGAATTAATAAAAACAATAAGCTCTTTTTAAATATATTTATAAATTAAATTTTATATTTATTTTTTAGCAAAAAAATTTATTTATTTTATAAAATATAATTATAGTAAAATTTTATTATAAATATAATTATAAATAATAATTTTTTATCATAATAGTTTTAATTATAATAAAATAAATATAAAAAGATTTAATTATATTTAAAATTTTTTTAATAATATTTATAATATAAATAGTTTTAATTATAATAAAATAAATATAAAAAGATTAATTATATTTAAAATTCTTTTAATAATATTTATAACATTATTATTATATATTTATTTATTTATTATAAAAATGAATACAAATTTATAATATTATAAAATAGAATTGGTTATTATTTAGTTTATAATAAAACAAATATAAATTGTTGAAATAATTTTCTGTAAAGCTCTAAAAGTTTGATTTGGTTCAAGCTTAAACTAAACTTGAATCTAATCAAAAATCATTTGAATTTAGTATTTTATTATAATAAAACATATTAAATTATATGAAATCAATAAATATATATAAATTTTGATCTGCTAATAATACAAACTAATAAAAATATATAAATTTTGATTAATAAGAAAATAAAAAAGCAAAAAATATAAAAATAAATATCTAAATCTAATAAAAAATAACAAAAAGATAATAATATATATAATTTTGATTTTAGTTCTAGCTTTAATTCTAATTTTAATTTTTAAATTAATTAGAATTACAAATTAATATAAGATATATATAATTGATATTAATAATAAATATTCAAAGAATTTATAATAGATATTAGTTAGTAAACTTTTAATTCTTAATAAATATTATAAATTGTATTTATAAATAAAGTTGTGATCCAAATTCAAAGTTACAATCAGTATATACTAATTTTGAACTGAACTCAAACCAGATCAAACTTATACAATAGTTCAGCTCAAGTTCAGTTCAAACTTTGAATCAAACTTGAACTTAGATAAAAGTCCAGTTGGTTCGGTTCATAGAAACACTATGTATTAAGAACAAATGACAATTATTTGTTAATAATTTTTTTTAAAATAAAAAAAATAATAAAGCATTTATAAAAGCGTGATTATAAAGAATGTTATTTGTATAGAAATTCTATTATAGTTATATCTTGTTATCATAGAATTAGAAACAGAAATCTGATAATTATAAATTTTGATTAATTTGAGATTTTAGATTTTTAGGTTGTTTTTATGCATCTCTGGCCTGAGATATCCAAGTATATTTCTGGATTAGCCAGCAACTGCATGACTAACTACAATCAAAGCTCGACAATATCGATAGCATTATTATTTATACAAGTCATTTTCGTTATAATGAAGACTAATTAACCTCTCGATATAGTAAAGTTAAGCTCAAAAACAGTATATAATAAATCCGCTTGAATGTATTAATAAATTCTTGAGATTTACTAATAGCCCGAACGTCTTCACTATGATGAGTTTTGACTAGCAAATAACATACAAAATTTTTTTTATGTCAATTGGTGAAGAGAAAGAAATGGAATTTTTATTTTTCATCTTGGATAAACCCATAATACACTATAAACACGTTGATTATGTTGCACAAAGACTTGTGACATACACAACTCAAAAGCTGAGTATTGATTAACTAGTACTAGTTCACGCCATCGAACTCGAGCACAATTCCGACTTGAATAGATCACAATTGTGGATTAGTGACCGCCAAACAGTAGACGTCGGGAGGCGTAACGTCACCATTATACGAACACGTAGAAACTGGTGTAACTGGTTGATATTTTGTACACGGTGCATCTACCGCACTAATCACAGAACCAGTGCGGTATGGATTGAGGTAGTTTTTCATCTCGCTTTCTTTTACGATCACGGTCAAGAATCCATCAGGTGCATTTGAAGATTCAACTTGTATTGGATAACCGTGTACTATTTCGCCTATACCAGGTGTATTTGTTTTCCATCAAGTAAATCTACTTTATATACTAAGTATATAATAATAGGCGAGTTAAACAATTAGAAGAGGATTTAGCGAATAGCAATAATAATTTCTAATAAGCTTTTTAGTCATCTCTATAGTTGTATTTAAACTTAGATTGGCTGCACGCATACCAAGTTTGTGTGGGTGGTATGAGAACGACGATATCTTTAGCTTTAGTGCCTTGGGCCGCAATATTAACGTTCTAAAAGAGTAATTTAAGTTTATTTTTTTCGACCTTTAATAAATTATTTGTCGAGTTAAAAATACCTGTACCGACATATCTGTTAATTATATAGTTTTCGACTTGTATATATAAAATTTATTAACCAAAACGAGAGCTTTTTTATAGCTACAGCAACAGATATGATTCCACAAACTTGCAAGGGGTAAGCGGAGTAGGGCCCCAATATTATCAGAACTTGTACATGATGTTGAAAGAAACCACAGATAGCGATTATCAATGATCTTTATAAATATTGCTTCTATCGCTATGCATTATTATCATTTCTTTATAACGATAACGTCGAAAGAAACCACAAATGACCGATGATCAATAATCTTGCGTATTCTTGATCATGTGTATAAAAATACATGTATATACAGTGGCTCACACATGTAACGGAACACGAAAATTAACTTTCTAGCATTTTTATTTCCATGACTATTAGTTT